CTGCTCCGATGAGAGAATCGAGGTTCTGCCAAGGATCGCCAGCAAGGGAGGAGATCCCGGTAACTATGGTATGAACTATGGAAGAATGACACCCTTATTCATTCTCCTGCTTTGCACTTGCATACTCCCCCACAGAAAGCCAACCTCCTAGGCGATCTCAAAGGAGTGTGGCCCCTCCTTAAACCACCCCTCTTGAAGATCTTGGTATGGAATATTCAAGCCTAAGGGGACCCAAAAAGAAAAAGGCCCATTTGCGTATAGCCTCAAGTGTACCCCTAATTTATTAGTAATTATTGAATCCAAGATGTTGTTCCTGCCTTACTGATAATATGTCCGATTTGGCGTTGCCTTTTCATTGGAAAGCCCATGGTTCGCAGGGTGCATCAGGAGTTATATGGGTTGTTTGGGACTTTACTATCCACCAAAGTTGCAATGTCCACATTTGCTCTTTCTCAATTACCGTTTGCTTCTCTAGAGTGTCGGATGGTCGTCCTGACTGGAAACTCTTTGTAGTCTATGGTCCTAATGGACTGAGCCCTGAGGAACCTATTTTGGGTGGACCTCGATCGAGTTGCCTCCTTACCACTCACCACCTACTACATTTGCAGCAATTTCAAAGTCAATAGGTTGTCTTCAAGGAAAAAAGGAAATGGCCTCTTCATAGTTGTTGGATTGGGAGTGGGATAAGGATTAGAAGCGGCGAGACTAGAAGATCCCTGTGGTTGGGAGTGTTGTCCATACAATGCATAGATTAGGGATGAAATCTCCTAAAATGTTAAGGATCTCAATCCCAACCTTTTGGCAATCATGATCTCGACCTTTTGAGATCTTGATCCCAACCTTTTGGTGATTGTTCTCCCAACCTTGAAAGAGTATATATAGTCTAGGATTATATATACTCTTTAAAGTAGGGATCTCTCTATTTATATCTAAGAAGCACTGCAACTATGCTAAAGAATAGCTTTATCAATAGCTGACTATAAATAAAGAAAATCATCAGTTTGGTTGTTATCTTGATATTTAAGGTGGGATCATGGTCCCTAAAAGTGGGGACCGAGGTCCCAAAATTTAAAAATTGAGATCCTTGGAAAATCCTTTCTTAGAGTGTAGGAGGGAGATTTCAGGGCAGGACCTCCACCTAGGTTTGGAGATTCCGGCAACCATGGGCCTCATCATGGCCAGCATGTCAAACTTTCAAGCTATCTGTAGAAATGCTCTCGCTGTCATGCCTCTCAATGGTTTGGACTTCATTGGGTTAAACCATGCGGCCCGCCCAACTCTGTCTAATTTTGCCAGATCTCTCACATCCTTGGAATGGGATGACATTTTCCTCGCAACCCCCAATTTTTGTACCTAAACTTGTTTCAAACCATTTATCCATCCTCCTCCACATGTTCCCTGGGTCTATCAGTGAGAGATCCTTTAGGTTCAAGCTCTCTTGGCTGGATGAGCCGGATCTCTTTAGGCTTACACCACTTTGTTACGGCTCACTCTCCACACATGGCTTGGCCAGATTTTGCCTCCAAAGGAAACTTCAAATGCTCTAATGCCCCCTCAAACATTGGAGCATGCAACTTCGAAGCAACTTTGAGGAGTCAAAAGTGGCCATAACTAGGGAAATTCACAAACTAAATTCTCTCTAGGAATCTAGGGAATTATCCCTAATTGAAAGGAACAGAAAGGCACAAGCTAAAGTAGGATACTAGTATGATCTCTAAAGAGAAGAGATCTTTTACCATCAACACTCTAGGGTTAAGTGGCTGAAATCTGATGATATAAGCACTCGCTTTTTCTGCAAAATTGCCAGTTACAGGCAGCACTAGAATGTGTTACCAAGTGGAGAAAACAATTATGAACTTCTTCTAGAAGCTATTCTCAGTTTAGAAGGGACAGAAACCTTGAATGGCTAACCTTTCCTTCCTATCCCTTCCCAATGAGGGGGCCTTGTGATTAGGCGCCCATTCTTGGAACAAGAAACCCTCAAGGCCATTGAGGACCTCGGGCACGACAAAGACCCAAGCCTAGATCCTGTGGCCTTTTTCAATAACCTTGGGCAAACTGTGCCGGGACATTGTTTGCCTCCTTTAATGATATCCACCCCATAAGCAGGCTCCAAAAGGGCATGAATGCCACTTTCCCCCATACCAAAACTTGAGGGTGCCAAAGAGCTTAGAGATTTCACCAGATTGGCTGCTCAGTAGCTCTTACTAGCTCCTATCCAAGGTACATGCCTCACACCTCGGGGAGGTGATTAAGTGGCTCTGAATCAGGGGACATTTGTCAAGGGTAGAGAAATCTTATAAGGGGCCTTCATGGCGCATGAATGCATTCATTCTAGACACCTAGCCAGAAACTCTGGAGTAATCATTAAAATGGATTGGTGGAAAGCTTATGGAAGGGTGGGTTGAGTCACTCTTAGATGAGGTGCTTCTAAGTACAGGATTGCAAAAAATGGAGGCTATGGATTAGGGGTTATGCCTCATCACCACAATTCTTGATCCTCATTAATGGATCTGCCAACGGCCATTTCCCCTTGTCTAGTGGTCTAAGACAGGGTAATCATTGTCCATTCCTATCTGCCATTGTCGATGAGTTGTTCAGCAGATTAATGGAGAGCCTCTCAGCAAGGAGTGCTCGATGGATTAAATCCTCCAATCAAGGGTTTGAGGTGTCCCATGTACAATATGCAGATGATACGCTGATCTTCTTGGACACATCAACATATTGACACCTTATGGCTCTTTTTAAAGTGCTTCAATGTTTCGACGGCCAAAAATATGTCCAAGTTGCAAATCGTGGGGGTTGCCATTGGCAACCAAACAATTCAAACCTTAGTTGAGAGCTTGGGCTGTGGGTTCAACATGCTGCCAGAAAAATAGTTAGTACAACCCCTGTCCATATGCAAATCGAGGAAACAATTATGGGACTTTCATGGAAAACTTTGGTCATTGACTTGCAAAGTGGTGAGGGAGGTTCCTTTCCCTGGGTGGCTGCCTCACACTCATTAAGGCCCCTCTCTAATGTCCCAATCTACTAAATGTCCTTATTCCCTGCATCCGTTGCTGCATGCCTAGAGCAATTCATTAGAAACTTGTTATGGTTAGCGACCCGGTGGGGAACACAAATTCCACCTGGTAGTGTGGGAGAAAGTTTGCTTGTCTAAGTCAATGGGTTGCCTTGGGATTAGGATCCTAAGGTGATGCAACACTGCACTCTTAGGTAAATAGTGGTGGGGAAAATAAGAAGACCACTTTGGCGGTCAGTAGTTCAACACAAATATGGCACCAAAGGGTAAAGGGTTGAAGGTTGGGATGGCTACCCAAGAGGACAGCTAATGCCAGATCCTCAGGTGTTTGGCAAATCCCTTATCACTAGCTATAACCAGTTTTGTGCAAGCATTTGATTCAGAGCAAAAAGCCGTGACCAAGTTAGATTCGGGACTGACCTTTTGATGCGTGAGTTTACCCAACCGAGAGTCCACAGTTGCACAATCCTTTTGAGTTTTTAGGGGAACTAAGAGTGTGGGACCAAAAATTCTGAAGACCCCTGCAAGAGCAAGAGCTCTTTGACTTACAAAGCCTGTCTTTACTTCTACAATCAACCTATCAGCCCCAGTGGGGCTATGAGCGGCTCGTTTGGACTCTGGCTCCTTACAGGACGTTATGATTTCGTCCTACCATACACTATTGTGAGCCCAACTTCCCCCTTTGATCGCTGACAAAGCTTGGTTCAAACCCATTCCCCCAGAATCCAGGCTTGCTACTGGATTTCTTGCTTGCTACTGGATTTCTTATCCAAGACAATTCTGACAGTGGATCAAATTCACAGGCAAGGCATCCATACTCCAAATAAGTGCGCAAAGTGCAAGAATGCTGAAGAGACTAACAAGGATCCATTCCTCCATTGCACAGTGACCTTATCCATCTGATCTAATCTCCTACATTCCTTGCATTGGAGCTGGGTACTACCACAATCTGTCTCACAATTATTCCGGGCTTTCCTCTCACCTCCATGGCCATCCTCAGGTTTGCTTCTGTGGATACTGTGGACATAGAGGAACATTGGAATTTTCAAAGGGAAAATAGCCTCAAACCAAGCACTTAAAGGTTCCATCAGAGCCTTTGTCATTTGGAAGAAAAACATGAAATATATCAACAGTAGTTCCATAACGAACTTTCTGAGTAACTAGAAAACACTGCTTATGATGAGGCCTGCACCATTAGACAAATCCTCTCTTTGGGGGCTGCAGGACTAAAGATGTACTAAACAGAAACTTTGACGGGTGCTCCCACGGCAACCCTTGTCCAGCACACTTTGGGGGGGGCATGCAGAGACCACCTAGGATACCTCCTCTCCTTCTCTGGCTTTATCATTATAGTTGATTCTACTATGGTCAAGACGATTGCCGTCAAGGCATTAAAAGATTTAACCCAGCTTGGGGTCTCTCTCTAGAGGTTGTGGGAGACTGAAGGAACACCATTTCCTGTGCCTCAGGGTCATCCTCTTGCCCATAGTAGCTGGAGCATTTATTTGATCACATTTTGTACTCTGCAGGTCTATTTAGATCTCCTTTCGGCATACATGGTGGGAGGCTAGCTCAGTGGTTGACACGCTGGCCAAGGAGCTGCCACAGGGAAGGCAACCTTTTGAGCACGGGCACCTTTCCTTTTGTTCCTGGCCAAGTTACTTATTGTCTCCTGTACTCCCATTTTTTTTATTCTTTTGAGGTTCCTCACCTCTGTTGTTTGATGTATAGAGTGACCAACTTGTAGGACGCCTTTTTGTTCTCACTATTACCACTATTAATAATTTATAAATGTTAACTTTTCCTAAAAGAACTCCAATTAATTTGGTTTCTTTCCTTGTACATTTTGTTAAAAGGGAGCTTAGTGTGGATTGGATTTCACCAAATGATTGGAACTTTGATAATTGCAAATTTGTCGATACCCATTTTATCTCATGTATAGTAATATGTACTCAGTCATTCCTTGCATTTTCAGGGATTTTAGAAAGATAGATGAGATCTTTTTGTCCCCTGTGGTGAAGGCATTGGCACCTCTAGCAAATATCAGTGTTGAAAGCCAGGTGGTGCTTTTGCTTTTACTATGAAGCATCTTCACTCTTCTTCCATTACATTACTTTCAAATTTCTGCATTATGTTTCAGGTTTTCCATCGTAAAAGTAGTTCTGTTTCCTAAGACCTTTTTGTTTCTTAGCAGATTTTGTACCACACTCCAAAGGCATCATATTCTTATTGGGATGAAAATTTGGCTAGCTACATCTTCAGTACCAATGACCTTCCATTCTTTGTATGTATAATTTTTCAATTTTGAATTGTATTTCCAGAATGTTAAGGTTTCTTCTAATAATTTTATTAAAAAGAAGAGGGTTTTTAGTAATTATAAAATAATAGGGCTTGTTAAAGAAGTATTAGAATCCAAAGGTTTTAAAATTAGCCGGATGAAGACAGAGTATATGGAATCTAAGTTTAGTAATAATAGGAGGAGAGACAATGAAGTAGTTAAGATTGATGGCTAGGAAGTACAAAAAGACCGCACTTTCGATATCTTAGGTTGATAATCCAGGAAAATGGAGAGATTGAGGAAGATGTCGCACACAAAATTAGAGCTGGGTGGGCGAAGTGGAGATGTACAACTGGAATTTTATGTGATCACCGCATATCAATGAAGCTGAAGGGCAAGTCTTATAGGACAGTTGTGAGACTAGCTTTGCTCTACGGAGCGGAATGTTCGGTGGACAAAAAACATTATAATCATAGAACGAGTGTAGTGGAGATGAGGATGTTGAGATGGATGAGTGTCAAGAGGAGAAAGAATTCGAAATGAATCAATTCGGGAGAATTTAGGTGTGGCACCAATAGGCAATAAGATGAGAGAAAGTAGATTTAGGTGGGTTGGCCATGTATGGCGCAGACCAAGTACAACACCTGTTAGGAGGTGCTAGTTAGTTCAAGTGGAAGGATTGAAAAGGTCAAGGGGTAGGCCCAAAATGATGTGGTTGGAAGTAGTTCGAGAAGATATGAGGACTTAGATCCTCATTGAGGGTGTGGCCTTTGATAGAGTAGAATAGCGGACCAGGATTCATGTAGCTGACCCCAATTAATTTGGAAAAGGCTATAATGATGACGAATCATCTGAGATGTTCTTTTTACTAATTGGTTATATGAGATTTTAAAGTATGACTTCGGATATCCCTACCTCGTGATTTTTTTGGAGGGGCAATGGACCAATTTCCCCCTCTTCCCATTAGGAAGGGAAATACAATGAAGATGGATGGCTCCAAATCTGGATTCTTGCCTTTTTTCGTGTTTTTTGATTCTTTAATCTTGGGCTCGATAGAAATGGAGGAATCAGATGTGGGTTCAGGTTTTTGTCCCCACCTCTAAACGGCTATCAAGCTCATCCAAAGACGCATAAAGATTCATCACCTTCACCAGACTATCTTTCATTCATTGGAGAACCTCTCCTTGGGAACTGACATTATGTAGATTATTGCAGAGATCAATGGGAGAGGAAGAGGAGGAGGAGGATGGTCCATAGGTTTTTCTCTTTCTAAAATATTTGTAGAACAAGCATATGCATCAAACGTAGTGGTAAACACAAACTCAGATAAAAATTTGAGATATTTTTCAGTACAAAAGTAACTGGTTACACCATAGAGAATGCATAACAATAAATAATTTTAAAAATAAGAATAAATAGAAAATGAGAGACATATTTACCTTCAATTGTTTTCGCCATTTTTGTTGAGATCAAAGGACATTTTAGAAGGAACCACCTTGAAGAAGCCATAAACCTCTGCTTAGCTGAAGGTTTACGAGGGTTGCAGTAGAAGTAAAAGCAATTTCCAGGAGTCCATTCCTGGGTTTCAAAGATTAAAGAAGCCAATTTCTCTTCCCGCACCTGCAGCCAGGTAAGGCAAGCAAACCCCACTTTCCCTTTCTTCCTTCCGCAAGTTAAGGGTGGTACAGATAAATGCAATTAGGGTTAGGGCCAGCTGCTTCCCCCTAACTCTGCCATGCCCGGTTCCAAGCCGGTCATACCTGTCCCAAGCTTTGGTAAAGGAGAAGGTCTATGTTAGGTAAACAACTAATGTAAAACTTTGCCACATCTTTCCATGAATCATGAACCTATATGAGGGAACGTGTAGCCGACCCTAAATAATTGGGATAAGGCTCTGATGATGATGATGATGACAACTACTTCCCCCTAAATACATTGAGACTTTCAATTGTCATCTTTTCAAATCACTGCCTCAAAAATCCTACTTTCCAACAGGTCGGCAACTCATGTGTTCCCTAAAAGTACAGAAACCCTAGAAAGATTCCTAGTTACAGTATATAGAAAGATAATTTTCTCTCTCTATAAATGAGACTATGATTCTCTTTCTGTATGGGAGAAGGTGATGTTCTCTGATTTAAATAGAATCCATAGTTACTTTTTTCTCTAATTATTGGCCAAAAGGTGAATACAAAATAGATAATAAGTTATCGTTATCTGAAGATAATGGCCTTTGTGGATTTTTATCCATAAATTAGCAGAAATAACTTGCTTTTATTTAAGAACGAGGAATTTATTCAAAAAACTCAACACCAAGATAATCTAAATGTTCAAGCAATAACGAATGAATCCAGAAAAGTTCAAGTAATAAACAAAACCATGGTGCATGGAGCACTCGCTCTAAGAAATGCTCATGAATATTGTTAAAACATGAATGATAATATCTTTTGGAATGCTCTAGTCTATACCATGGGTGTCTTATTGTAATCATATTTATGGTTTCCATTTGTCAAATCTGATCCCCTGTTCTCCTTTCTGGTTGAATGGTATGCTGTCATCTTTCTATATTTTCCACTCCATATTTTTGGCTTCTCTCTCCGGTGATGATTTTTACAGGATTTTACTTGTGTCACATCACCTCTTTGCCTTTGAGGAGTTCAAAGAGTGAAAAATCATAAAGTGACCATTGTTGAATGGCCAAAACACAGCGAGAAATGTACCAGATCGAGCTGTATAGAGAGAAAAATCGCAGAAAGAGTACATAGAATTTGTTGTAGAAGAGAACCTGTGGGTTTGGTTGAAGGTTTGGGTGATCAAGAAGTGGGGGATTAAGCATTTCGGTTTGAGGGGGAAGTGGAGGTTGATTTCAGGAGTGTTACATTTTTGCAAGTAGAGACAGAGATAGTGTAGAAGAAAGAGGTGAGAGTAAATGTAGAATTTATTGAGAAGTTGGGCAATCAAAGATGTTGGACTTTTGGCAATGAGGATGCATGGAATTGGAGGTTGATTTTCAGCAATGTCTCATTCCCTGAGAGGAGGGAGAAATTGTAGAAGGCAGAAGAAAGAGAAGAGGGGCAATTTAGTCCACCCCCCCCTTGGAAACAGCCAAGTGGAGGCAAGGATATCCAGAGTCATATTCTAAAACTTGGATATCTAATATATTTAAAAAAAACATCTCAGATGTTTTCCTCCTAAAAATTCCAAAATACGTAAAGATCTGTTGGGTGCGTTCACTTTTGATTGATTATGAAGTTATAAATTAAACATCGATGTGCATTCTTTTGTGGGTTTGGACCTTATACCTTCAGTTTTTGTATCTTTAGAATTGATGCAATCCCCGACAGATCAAACTAGATATTTGTGCATTCTTGATCTTGTATCCATCGCCTAAAGAGTGTTTAAATTCCATATCTACATCTTATGCTTTTAGTCAGAATCATATTCAGGCAACTCTACACTCCCTTTTATATATCAAACCTAATTTTTTCATTTATCTTTTTCTGATGAGGATGATTTACTTACTCGACACTATCATAATAAGGTAGTATAAAACATATGATCCCAGATCCTTTTTCAACTCGTAAATTACCCATGACCAAATTAGAGTCCCTAGATGCATGTTATACATTGATAAAATGAATCATTTATATAACTGATTACATTTATGAACATCAACCACATCCCTAGATATTCTAAGCAATCCTTCCTAAGCCATGTGACATTTAGTGTGCCTTCCTTTCCAATGGCTGAGATCAAGTTGGGAGGTTAGCGTGATGAAACCAATAGTTCCAAGCCCTTGTATATTACTCAGGGCTCAGGCCCAGAAGAGTCACAAACTTTGTTCATAATGTCCCTTTGAAAAGACTACTTTGAAACAAGCCCATCCTGGGCTCCTTTTTGAGCCAAAGTTTCTTGATTTGGACTTGGCTTGGGATCCAGTGAGGTGTGTCGAGTTGGCTTGAGACAAACTTGGAAATCTCATCCAAGTTCTTAAGAAGTTACAAGAACAATCCAAAAAGATCCTAGAAATTTATGGAAAATATGAATACGGACCTAGTAAATATTTTTTAGAAATTTTGCACGGGAATTGGAGCTATGTTTGACTTAAATTCAATTAATTTTCCATTGAACATCCTTACATTAACTAATGGAATTTGCGAAATTTCTATCTGTATAAGGTATTATAAAAAAATTATCTGCAGCATACAAGTAGCTGAGAAAATAGAATATCATTTAGAGCATATAATGTCATAGACTCACAATCATGGATAATCAAATATTATGGAACATAAATTATCGTGTAGATTTCTGAGATCAATAACCAAATTTTTGATACAAATAGGAATAGCAAGAGAAGTTATATGTTTTATCAATATTGTAGTTATTTTATTTATTTATTTATTTTTGGGAGAAAAGGCAACCATATATTACTTCATAGGGTAACACAAAATGTTCCCACAGGCAGCCTACATTTTGGGTGATCTATAAAAAAGAAAACAAAAAAGAAATAAAGGAAAAGAAAGGAGAAGAAAAATAGAAGAGAGAGGCGATGGAGCGAAGGGAGAAGAAAATAGAAGCGATGAGAGAGACGTGGTGGAGGCAAGGGAGAGGAGAAGAAGAGGGCAGGGGAGAGAAAGGTTGTAGGGACATGCTCTTAACCAGTCAAAAAATGGGGCAGAGAGCAAGGTCGCCGCTGGTCAAAACGTGGTGCTAAGTGAAGGTTATCATCTTTGTTTCATTTCTTGTTTCTTCTTTAGTTAGACCTTGTTGCTCTGTGTGCAAAGTATCCTATGGGAGGATGAAGGGCCTCTTTCACTTTCTATTGTTTATAATTCTTCTTCACCCCTCCCCCTAGTTGTCTCCCCATACTTCTTGGAATTTCTCTACTCAATACTGCCAGATGCCACGTTCTACTCTATAGCCCTCACGTCACTCGATGCTACATATACCAGACCCTTGCCCCATAATGTTTGGTGTTCCTTCTTGGAGGAGTTGAAAAGGGCACCCAA